GTCCTGAGTTCGATTCCCAGTACCAAAAAAAAAAAAAAAAGTAAAATATAATATACAGATGTGTTTCTTGAATTTGAATTCTGAAACTAGATTGAAGTATTTTTAGGTAAAATAACTCAGTCTCACTAATCTAGATGAGGAAATCTTAGAATAGTCCCTGGTATTTGGATAGTAATTTTCAAGGAACTTCAGGGACCGGAATTACTGACATGCCCCGTGACTGTGAGTCATTTGAGTCTTACAGGTGACCTGCTAAAAGAAATAAATAAAATGTGTACATATGTGTATGTTTTAGACCAGCAATAGAAGAAGCAGAGCCATGGCATCTTTGGAATGATCTCCACTTGTCAGAACTGTGAAGGGTAAAATAATGTGTTAATCCCTATTTTAATGCTGATGGCGGGGCTGGGGTGAAAGGGCGAAGGGACATTTATACTCTGACTGTCCAAGGGTACCTAGCTTGAGTGGATGGCTGTCGGGGATGTGATCTCCAAATGTGTGCTGCTGATCTGACTCTGACGCTGCTTTTTACTTGCGGTCAGAAGGGTACGCCGCACGACGTGGTCAGAAAGTCAATGAATTTAGACTCAAGGACAGATTTTCCCTGGTTTCTTTCTCAGCAGGACTGGGGTATAGCTCAGTGGCGCAGCACAGACTGCTGGCCTAGTATGTGTGAAGTCTTGGAGTTTGATTCTCCACACGGGAAACAGTCATTCCGTTATAACAGCATATAAAGACTTTTGGATAAAAAAGTAGAAGAAACTTGGAAATGATTTCAAAAAGGTCCCAGGAAGACCAGAAGCTATTCCTGAGCAACCAGGGGCAAGAGGCCACATTTCACTGTGGTGATTTTGGTTGTTTGTTGTTTTTTGACCAGGGGCTTAATACATAGTCCAGGCTGGTGTTGAATTCACAATGTTGCCCAGGCTGGCCTTGAACTTGGAGTGGTTTCTCATGCCTCAGCCTTCCAAGGACTGGGATTACAGGCCTGCACCAGCACATCTGGATGATTTTGGTTTTTGAAGGAAGACTAAAAGAGCTGGTTGGTTTGGCCTCTAGAGGATAGGTATTACAATAATACAGGTCAAAGGGATGAAAGAACTTTCAGATTCAATAGTACCAAAATATTTTCTCCTTTGGTTAATGTTGGAATTGCTGATGGTGCCAGGGATTACACAGAGGACATGGATGTGGTTGTAGGAGTCCAGGGGAAGATCATGTGTAAGCAGATGAGCCATGAAATTACTTCTAATCTCCAATGATATGGCAAGTTAAAACAAAAAAGTTAGAGCAGATAAGCTATAGGTCCTTGGCAAATCTGGGGTCACTGTATACTGGCAGACAGGCCATAATTTGGGTGAAAGTACTTTTAAAGAAAAAAATTCATGCTTTATAATCACTTCAAGGTCACTTCTAGATCTTTGCTTTGAACTGGAGGTGTCTGTAGCTGCTGTGCTTTTAGTGAACGCATTGGGTTCTGGAGCCAAGAAGCCGGGTCACCAGGCACAGCACGCTGCTGGCCCATACCTCAGCGCTAGGGGCTCTTGCTCCCCTCCAAGAGTGGGAGCGTCACCAGCTGCACACGAGTAACAACACTCGAACACCACCTCCCGAAGCACTCTTCCTAAATCTTAAACTCTTCTTCGGAATTAATTCTTACAAGCTGTTATTCCTCATGGACGGACCCTCAGCCCATGTCCACCTCTGTGCCCACTGCCGGAGTTCCTCAGCCAGCACGGCCAAGAATGAAGATTCTTGGGAACAATATGTAGAACCTCAGTATTCATTCATTGATATTCTTGCTCCATGAAGATAAATGAGCTAATTTTCTTTCTGGTCTCACAGCATTGTCAACAAGGGCCAGGAAAATCCACTTAGTTCATTTAGTCACTCAGGCAGTGTTATGAAGATGTGCTTGAAACTTTCCCGTGCAGCTCTCCCTCCAAGACAAACATCCTTTGGAGTAATCCTTCTTCTGAATTAAATTGGTTCTTGTACTTCATAATGATGGGATTTGACTTGACTTCCTGTCAAACAGGTTTGTGGAGACAGGTGTCTTTGCGGAGATGGCTGCTTGGGTGGCACTGTACCACAGGTGTAAGAGGGCTGAGTGCCTGGGGGTTGGTCGGGAGTGCAGGGCCTCTCAGCTTGGACAAATGAAGGGCAGTTAAGAGCAGTAACTGCTGCTTCGTTGGCTTTCCGTCTAGACATTTGTAAAGTTCACTCCTCTTAAAGCAGGCTGCAAAATGTGATTATGTATAACCATATAACTCTATGAATATACAACAGGTCTGAATGCACTGATACGAGGTCTTGCTAATTAAATGTAGTAGGTAGATGTATAAGGATTTTTTTCTCTATGAAGCAAAGTTATTAAAAAGCTTAAATAGGCATATAAAGATCCTCTGAATCAGGACCTTGTGCACAATCCCTGCTATTACTGAATGTTAGAACTCAGAAATAAGAGACTTTAAAGATCATTACTGGTGAACTATTCTGATTCAGCAGTTCTGGTTTTTGGAGTTGCTGCAGTCACTTTCCTGGTGTTACAAAGGAACTACATGTGTTTGCTCTTTGATTTCCAGTGACCTTTTGATGTGTTCTATATAACACTTTGATTTTTCTTTTTTTTTGAGGTAAGATGACAGAGGAAAAGATGAAGCTGTTAAGAGAACAGGGATCTTACAAAGATGCACACACACACACACACACACACACACACACACTAGCGGTCAATCTCTGTTTTACTTTAGCATTTCTTTTTTTTTTGGTACTGGGGATTGAACTTGGTCCTTGTGCTTGTGAAGCAGGGGGTGGAACCATTGAGCTAAATCCCTGGCCGCTGCATTAGCATTTCTGACACCTAGGAAATGAAAGGACTAACTGGCCAGATATGGTGGTGCACACCGGTAATTCCAGCGTTCTGCGAGGCTGAGGTGGAGAGATTCCAACTTCAAGCTCACCCTGGGAAATTTAGCAGTTTAGCAAGATCCTGTCTCAAAATTTAGAAAGGTGTGTGTGTGTGTGTGTGTGTGTGTGCACGCGCGCTGTGAATGTAGCTCCTTGTGATGGTCGTGGGTTTAATCCCTAGTATTTAAAAAAAAAAAAAAGATTAATCTTTAAGGGCCTAATTCTAACATTCAGAAATATGTAGTAGGACTGTGCACAAGGTCTTGATTTAGAGGAAAATCTGGGTTTCAGTCCTTTTCCTTTGTTGTTTTCTTACCAGCTGTAGCTATTGGCCAAGTCCATTGGCGCTGAACCTATGGCACATGTGCTGCTTGTATCACTGACAGCTCTGAAAGGTTCACCATCACTGGCCTAGTCATTCTCCTGTAACTTCCGTCTGTAAAATGGGAACCGTGGACGCGGTTGACTGAATGTGGTAATGGATATTGGCACACTTTGTACATAGAAAAGGGCCACGAGTCAATTCACCAACAGTAAAGGAGCGTGACCCTGCGCTGGCAGGTGCTTCGGCGACAGGCTCCCTTTAGCCAGGCAGGTTTTCTCCCTGTCCTCTTCCAAGCCAACCTTTAGTCACCTCTTCTGTACGGATCTGTGGTCTTCCCTTTCCTGACCTCCTGACAGCTGTGTCTTCCCATCTCTAACTCCTGTGTTACGTATTTGAATGAACAGATAAATGGTGAATGGTGATGGACAATGGGTTATGAACCCTACTTACGGTACAATCTACTTACAGTACAATCTCATCTAAAAACAACCTACATAACAATAACACTTGCAATTGTGTATTTACATTGGGTTTTGTATTATATAATTATTTTAACAGCCTCTTTACTCATAGTATTCAAAGCAACTTCATGGTATGGAACGACATAATGTTTAATCACAGTTAAGCTCTAAGCCATAGATTAGCCTATCAGATGCTCACTGATACATTTAGAAGTAGCCTGGGTCCTAGGAAATGTGTCATTAGGCCAAACAGTTTTATTTGTTCCTGTGGGGTTTTGTTACATCACACTTGCCTAACCATTTCTAAATTTGTTTTATCTGAACTAAACATTGAGAACTCCTAAAATTTTCTGATTTAGAAAGTAACCTTAAGCCAGGCATGGTGGCGCACACCTGTAATCCCAGCACTCAGGAGGCTGAGGCAGGAGGATCACTGTGAGTTCGAGACCAGCCTGAGCTACATAGTGAGTTCCAGGTCAGTCTCAACTACATAGTGAGACCCTCTCTCAAATAAAAAAACAAACAAACAAAAAAGAAAATGTAACCTTAAAATTGAAGTAACATTCCTCTAGGTTTTTCCTCTTACTCATGTTGCCTTTGTTTTTGAGAGAGAATCTGACTATGTAGTTTACATTGCCCTGGAACTCACTGTGTAGCCCAGGCTGCTCTTGAACTCACAGCGATCCTCCTGCCTCAGCCTCCTGAGTGCTGGGATTACAGGCGTGTGCCACCACGCCCGGCTCTTGCCTTCATTTTTTTAAAGCACTGTCTTGATGCTCAAAGCAGAACTTCCTTTTGTTTTTGAGACAGGGTCTTGTTATGTAATTCAAGCTGGCATGAGATTCATAGCAGTCCTCCTATCCCAGCCTCCCACGTGCTGAGATTACAGGTGTGCACCACCATGGGCAAAGCAGAAAGGTCAGACAGGGAAGAAAGTTTTGTAAACAACTGAATTGTTTTTCTTTACTTCTGTTTGTGTATTTTGTTTTTGAGATAGGATCTTGCTATGTTGCCCAGGCTGGTTCAGGTCCTCATGCCTCAGCCTCCCAGAGTACTGGGATGACTGGCATGTCCTGCCACGCCCTCTTTATGTTGCTTCTTTTTGAGACAAGGTCTTGCTATGTGGTCCAGCCTGGTCTCAAACTTGGGG